GACACTGGCCGGCAGATGGAATTCGGAGGAGGCCTAATCTGTGGGATCTAATCAGTCTAATGGAGGTAATTGGCAGTAGGCGGTCTCTCAAGTACCCAGGTCCAATATCATGAAGGGCTTTATAAGTGACGACTTATAAAGGGCTTTATAAGTGACAGGCTTTATAAGTGATGACTTTAAAAGACTGCATTTATAATAATTAATATTTGTTTGGTGGATCACCAATAAATCTCAGGGATGTAGGCTAATGTGGAAAGTCCAAAAAATAATACAATCCGCTACTACTCTATTGGGGACTACCACCAAAGGGGACTAACTGTACTTAGAAAGATATGCATACATACACCAAAGATCAAGATCAATTCAAGAGAATGTTTCATCTTGAAAAGTTACATTAAAAAAATTCTTGCATTAAATATTTTGCCATTCATGCTTAAAGATCAAGGTAAAATATTACCTTCAGATCTTGTTATAAGTAGCTCTTCATATACAACATACCCATAAGGTATTTGTATCTATACCTGCCCTTATACTGTTGTTTAAAACATTGTTATTTGATTTTAATTATGTTTGTGCCATTCTGTTTTCTTCAATTTGCAGTGAATAAATGGGGTATAATACTTATAAATAAAAGTAATTAGCTTTTGTGAATAAATAAAAATATAGCTTCCTTAAATTGCTCAGAATTCTGTTAGAAATATTTAGCTCTCGGTATAGAATTATTGCTCCCAAAACAATATGACTTTATAAAATTATCACAAATACTAGGAAGGTGTGCAGTAATATATTTGCTTCTGCACTACAACTATTCCTTTTTATTAGTTTCTAAACAGTGTGTGATAAAAAGACTGGTTAATCTGAAACATTGAACAAAACGTTAAAAAAAACCTATGAGTAACAGAATAAAACTCCCATTCTCTTCAGTAGAAACTTTTTCTTTTTTCTTCTTAGTATTTCAGATTAAATATGATGAATTACAAATCACTTCTGATATCCAGTAAAATTTAGAATAATACTGTTATCTAGACTTTAAACTTACTTCAAAAATATTTGCACCATGAATGCTTTATAAGAGCTAATCATTTGAAATTTTTCAGATCAAGGGGGCACCATTTGGGACTTGTTTATCTATCAGTGATGGCCCCACAGACAACAGCACTGGGATTCCTTACTTTTACATGACTCCAAAGGATAAAACTGTAGCTGATCTGGTGAAAAATTCAATTGCTTCATTGACATTACCTGAAGCAGAAGGAGATTTTTGCAGGTACAATAATTTTGGTAACTTTTACTGCATAATGATATTTCTTTGTATCTCACTTTTATTATTTTTATAAATACCATATTTTTCAGAGTATAAGACGCACCAAAGTATAAGACGCACCAAAGTTTTGAAGAGGCTTTTTTTTTNAGGGTTAGGTTTAGGGTTAAGTTTAGGATTAGGATTAGGTTTAGGGGGGTTAGGTTTAGGTGTTAATTTTAGGTTTAGGGTTTACAGCATGCTTCTGTCTCCGCGCTGTTGTTGCCCTGTTGATGACGTCAGCGACGCGGTTTAGTCAGGCGCGGTTTAGTCGAGCGCGGTTTTGTGGTGGAACCGACGTTTATTCCTATTGCTATCACATAGCCCCAGACACTGCAAACGTCATAAATATGAGTCAGTTACCAAAAGTTCTAATTTTGATCGCTTGATACTACAACCGTCTCAAATGGGAAAAACAGTCATCAGCCGCCTTTTTCCGCAACTTTGAACGGCCACTAAATGAACTGTTGTAAGTTGAGAACTGGAATTGATTATGCCAATAACCAAAGGAATCGCAGTGCCTATATACATATCCGGCAGAAACTTTGCCCGAAACCAATGCGGACAACCATTTAAATGAATTTATTAAAAAAACGTATTTAGCAGCAAAACGTATGCAAAACGTTGCGGTCCGATCTCCTTAGTGTCCTTTAGGCGCGAGCGTTTTCACTTTGAAACCAAATAGGCTTTAAAGAGGCAAATATTTTCTGGTTTAGTGTGCACAGTATAGCGGAAGGGGCTCGTTACAATTCAGCTGCTACGTTGTGGAGTTAGATGGACAGAAGATGGAAGGATGAGGAAGAAGCATCATTATTTAAGAAGATCGCTCGAAGGCTGAAGAGCCTCCTTCTCATTCCACATTATGTTGAAGAAAGGGGCATTTAACTAACTCCCCACAGTTACTAGATCTCTGAATTTTGAGTAGTCCCCTTACAACATACCCAAAACATGGCCCAACATATGAAGCTTGGTAGAAAACTTCAATGATGGCTTTTGCTTCCTAACCAACATGTTTTTGCTCAGTAAGGCCAATATTTGGAAAACGGGGAGCCCTTAACAAGCATCTCTTACCATTAGCAGGGTAAGAATGAGGCTTGCTTTCCATTCCCACAAACCTTTGACCTGCGTCCATCACGAATGAGGACCCCAGGGGTGTATGCTCACCTTCCCCATAGGATCTTCTTGGGAGAAGGAACGGCAGTCAAATTAATATACACAACTCAGTAGGACAACATGGCTGGAATGCCGATAGTTGTTCTGGATTGCTTGGCCAAGAATTTGGACCTTCCAAATCTGGATATATTTTTTGTTTTGTTTAGAGGGTTGAATTTAGGCCTGTCTGTTTATTTGGCTGGATGGAGTGGAAAGCCGTATCGTGCTCCCAGAAAGGACCAGTTCCTGGTATTTATCCACCACTTCCTGGTAAACAGGGCCACTGTTCTTCAGCGCAAACCTCACGGCGGAGTCTTGGTAATGGGGTTGAAAGCTCGGACAGGGATAATTCCGACATGCTGAAGAAGACGGGACCACAGGCTGTAGCACTAGACAGACGGAAGCCGGGGGTTTTCCTGGAAGCAAATGTTTATACCTGTCCAAAAGATAAGAAGAACAATAACAATGGTTACCATTGTCTGTAAGGATTGCGTTAAAGAAGGCAGCTTCGTAAGAGCTGTGGCGGCACAGTGGTTAAAATGCAGTACTGCAGGCTGATTTCTGCCGACTGCCAGCAGCTCGGCAGCGCGATGCTCACCAGCTCAAGGTTGACTCAGCCTTCCTTCCTGGGTAAAATGAGGACCCCAGATTGTTGGGGGGCAAGAGGCTGACTCTATAAACCGCTTAGAGTGGGCTGTAAAGCACTGCGAAGCGGTATGTAAGTTTAAGTGTTCTTGCTATCATCACACGCCTATTACAAGTTTATTAAGAGCCGTGTGGTGCAGTGGTTAGAATGCTGTATTGCAGTGTACTTCTGCTAACTGCCGGCTGCCGGCTGCTTGGCAGTTCGATCCTGACTGGCTCAAGGTTGACTCAGCCTTTCTTCCTGGGTAAAATGAGGACCCCAGATTGTTGGGGGGCAAGAGGCTGACTCTATAAACCGCTTAGAGTGGGCTGTAAAGCACTGCGAAGCGGTATGTAAGTCTAAGTGTTCTTGCTATCATCACACGCTTATTACAAGTTTATTAAGAGCCGTGTGGTGCAGTGGTTAGAATGCTGTACTGCAGTGTACTTCTGCTAACTGCCGGCTGCCGGCTGCTGGGCAGTTCGATCCTGACTGGCTAAAGGTTGACTCAGCCTTCCAGTAAAGTAAAATGAGATCAGTAAAATGAGGATCCAGCCTTCCTCCCTCCTTTTGTTCCTTATTTCCTTTTTCATTCTCCTTCCATGTGGCACAATGGTCAGAATGGAAGTACTGCAAGCTAATTCTGCCCACTGCCAGCAGTTCGATTCTCACAGGCTCAAGGTTGACTCAGCCTTCCATCCTTCCTTCCTTCCTTCCTTCCTTCCTTCCT